TATATAAACCCGATACGCAGATACATCCTAGATAACTCGGCAATATCTACAATAGTCCATAGATATATAAATACACACTACAGGATGCTCACTAGCCTATAACATAGTTCAGCCTGGGTAGAATGTGACATATAAAACACGCTTTCCAGCGGCCAAGTACCTAGACCTACCAGGGAACATTAACTATATCCAGCTACTCAACCTTTGCGATATACGCACCCTAACCGTGATCAGGAGACTCAAGCTCGTATCACGGTACCATAAATATATATATAAATTCCTTCATAGTGCAAAAAGATAAAACAAATATCCATTATGTCGTTCAACTGTTTTAGTTGATAGGACATGCATCTATGTAGGATTTAACTGTTTTAGTTAATCCATTCCTTATGGATGAAGGGATAGGACTTCGCTTTTTGATCTAATCCATCCCTGATATGTCACCGTCCCATACCGGTACATATAATGCAAATGATCCTTGAATGATGCAACATTTTCAACAGTTCATCAAATCATACCCACGTAATCCAAATAGTTGATATACAGAGTTTAAACAGTTCATCAACTTGCAATCCAGAATCCATCCATGTAATTAACGAGACAAAGTTTAATAATTCATTAAGTTAAGATCCAGTATCCATCGATGTCATTGACAATTTAATTCATTTAATTAAATTTTAACTAACCCATAGTACAGTCCAGCAGTTGACAATATTAACAATAGTAAGAGTCAATTACAAAGCTGAGAATGCCAAACTATAACTCAGAAAAATCCACAGTATTAACCAATAGTTGCTGAAACATAAAGAACAGTTTAACCATTAAAATAACAATCTCCATTTAATAAATGGAACCTAATTTATTAGTTCCTTAATTAAAATCCAACCTATGCACAAATAAGGTCTAATAAATACATGACCCTATTCTATATCTAACATAGATTTTAGAACCATCCTCCAGTCATCTAAGTTGCTAAATTAAATTTACACAACTAGATACTTTACAATTGCCAACAATGTGCGTCATTACTTAAAACTCCCACACTGTGAAAATCCTTAGCATATTAGGATAAATTATTCATGATGAGTTCTAATATAGCATAATATCATATTTAGATTCCATGCAATAGTCCGTTAAATTTTTAAAACAAAACTTAGCGCACTAGTCCTTCCTATCCGTTAGCAGCGTACAAAGTCACTTATGTTTACACTGTTTATTCCATTTGCCCTATGAACCAAAATATACAATTAGAGGAATTAAAAAACCTTGAAAATACTTTTAGAATTCTCATTCCAGTCCCTAAAACCATTTAGAATTTCAAACTTAGCCCAAACAGTGCCCAAATAGCTCCAAAATGCATCCAAACGTGTCTTAACCAAGGGAGCCTGCTCTAAAATAAAAGAGCAGGCTCTATTCTACCTAGAGCCGGCTCCCTAACCCCTTGGAGCCGGCTCTAAGAAGGGGGAGACGGCTCCCACAATTTGGAGCCCTCTCTCTCTCACTTTGAGCCTTCTCCTCTGCTCCAAACTCATCTCTGCTTCATTCGGTTTCCTTCTGTGCTTCCGGCAAAGCTTCCCATCCTATCCGCAAACCTTTGTAGCATCTTTAGAACTCTATTTAAGTTTCTTACAGTCCTAGAACCCCTCATACTCCAGTGTAAATCAATCGATAGAAAGTAAACTCACAACAGAATAGTTTATGCAACAATAAGTTTAAACTTTAAAAAAACGCAAAACAAATTACAGAAAACATCTAGCATGCATTAAGTCCATTTTTAAAAGTTTAATTACATTCCTGGAGTCTATATAAGATGCACAGAACACAAGTTTACAGGAAAGGAATAGACTGAAACTTGCCTTAAGATTCCGGTTTGAAATCTTCATCGTCGTCTCTAAGTTTCAGAGCTTCTCCAAGACTGTTCATTCCTCTAATCACTGCCCCAGTTCAATCTCACAGTAAACCATTCCTTCCTCCTTGATACGACCTTCAGTTACATTGCTGAAAGCCTTTTCCCAGTTTTCCTTTCATGTTTTACCCCTCAGCCTCTCTGTTTCTCTAGTTACGGGAACATAGTTTGTTTTTTTTTAAAACCCTTGCCAGACCTACAACTTATATATATATAGGCTCCATTAAAACCCTAATCCTAATTTCCATGACTCATTATATGACAGCTATACCACATAAACCCTAAACTTAATATTTAAACCATATAAGCCATATACAACACACGTCAGTTAAAACCAATTAATCAATCAATTAAATTAAAACAAATAATCAATTACTTTAAAATACCAATTAATCATCCAATTAAATTAAAACAAATAAGCAATTAATTTAACACAAAAACAATGCTAATTAAACATATAGCCAAATACTCACACAAAACACAAAATCCAAATAATTAAATAAAAATGAAAACAAAATTCAAAGAAAATTTAATTTAAATTCCAACTATATCCTTTTAAATATTAGGGGTATTACATTCTTCCCCCCTAACAAAAGAAATTCCGTCCTAGGAATTCACGAATCTCTGAATTCTTTTATTTTAAATTTAGTTCCGTTCCGTTGTAGATTCTGCCGCTATGTACGGGCTCCACTGAATTCCATATCCTTAGAGAAAATTTTATGGTACCGTTAGTTAAGAAATACCAAAAACTATCCTTATGTTGTATTACGCAACAAATTATCCTTACCCAATATTCACATCAGGATACTAAGTTCGTAATCCTTTAAGTGCCATAGAGTACACATAAAATTCCTACACATGCAACGCTGAACATGTTTGTTATGTCGAACTATAGGCTATTGCCTAAATAGATACACAAAATCGATGAAAAGTCAATTTAATACGTAAAACTGACTTTCCTCCACAAACCACGTTGCTTTCTATATGGAAGACATCCTAACCAACCATTTCCAGATAGGAACTCAAAGACACGAGTTCAACCATTTACTAAATTCGACTACCGCCTTCAAACCACGCGCAATCCCCTACAAAAGAGAGTACATCTCTCCGATGTATCCTTAAAGATGACAAGGTCTTATTATATACCCTCGCTTCACATCAGACCAACTAGTGAGAGGTCTGTACAACATACTATCCCAAAATCCCAAACATTGTCGCAATAACCCCCTTGTACCAACAACATCATAGATAATAACTGAAAAGCTAAGTAACGCTTTCAATTACCCATGCCAACCTAGGATATATATCCTAAGCATATTTGCCATGATCCAATATTATAGTGCGATTAAATCTCCCATTTAGAGATGCGAAGCATAGTTGTTGCTCTAATACGTTCAAAGACTCCGTTGCCATAGCAATGTTTAATCCTTATAAGAGATAACCACCTACTATAACTCCGTTATTAGTGCAATGTAGAACTGACATAACACTTCAAAACAACACCACTCACCATGATGTCCACCATCGAACTTGCTTATCCACAACTCTTAATCCATATGGAATTAAAATTCCAAACAATGTCGGTAGTTTCTACCAACCATCTACCTCCTAATTAGTCCTACTTCCCTGTTGATATAGGAAGTGGTTAAAACCTCCAATGATATTCGAGCCTCAATTTTCCACCTTGTTAGCAGGTGATACACTTTGAGACAGTCATGTTCATGTCTCTATTCGTATCGTCTCACCAAGACGAATCTGGTAAGTCGTGCTGTCATAGTTGTTAAAGGCTCAAGGCGCACAAAAGTGCAAATGCCTCCTGGAGCCTGAGGCGCAAGGCGAGACGCGCGCCCGACTGAAGCAAGGCGCACGTTGGAAGAAAAAAAAAACAAAACCCACCCAATAAAGTATTAAAGATGCAAATCATGCAATAGTATATAGAAAGATGTAAAAGTCAACTAAATGAATTACTTAAGTTAAATATTCAACATAAAGATGCCAAAACCAAGTAAATCAAGTACTTGAGTTCAAAACAGTGAATAATCAAACATATTAACATAAAGATGCAAAAGTCAACTAAGGAGAAGTATAAGATAAAACAAAAACAAACATAAACATCATTCTTCCTAAGAAGACAACACCAATGAATCTAAATATCATCCTCGTCATCAATAAGCATAACATCATTTTGATCGTCACTAAATGATTCATAATTCTCAGGATCCTTTTCTATCTCATCTGAATCATCCTCATCCTTATCCACAAGTCAAACTGAAGAACTTCCTGCTCCCTTTGTTGGTAACCTTGAATTAGAACTAGATTTTGATCTAGTAGACCGTTGCGGCCTGCTTGCCTCTCCAATACCAGCAAAATTAGCAACATCACCCCATGTCAAGGAATCATCTTCATAGCCTAGATCATGTTCTGCATCAGAATCATCTATCCTCCCCGTCAACCACTCGTTGCTCTCATCAATGTCATTGAGTAAAATGGGATCAAGAGTGTCACGCATATTATATCGATGCCTCAATGCTCTATTATATTTGATGAACACTAAATCATTCAACGTTGTTTGAGCGAGCCTATTTCTTTTCTTGTTATGAAGCTGCAATAAATTCAACTTTAACTAGTAAGTATAAAAAATTAAAATTTTAATTTTCAACAATTAAATTACAAGCCTAGTTAGTAAATAGTATATACTTACATGCTCAAACACGCTCCAATTTCGTTCATAACCAGAAGAACTGCAAGTAAGGCTTAAAACCTTTATAGCAAACTTTTGGAGAAGTTTTGTTGACTTGCCATAAGCTTCCCACCAATTAGCTATTAAAAAAAATTTAATAATGATGTTTAGTAACTTTAGCTTCATCTTTCTATCGACTCTATTGTCAAAATAATTTTAACACTTAGCTATACTAACTTAACATACTTTACCACTTTACCTGGTCCTCGTGTACTTCTCTGTCTAATAGCAAAGGGATTACCAAAGAGGCCCTCAGCTTTAGAATATAAGGACAGCTCCTCAGTAATTTTGTCTTGGTCTTTGACATCCGGGACTAACCTTGCAATGCATGCATACAAACCTTTTGCAATCTCTTCATCTTCTTCAATTTTTGAATTTGAATAAAAGTATTCTGGGTTCAAATAATAACCTGTTGCATGTAAAGGGCGATGAAGTTGAACATTCCACCTCTTATCAATTATTTCAAAAATATCTGAGTATTTATCTTCTACTCCCTCAAATGATTTTGCAATGGCTTCTTTAGCCCTATCCATAGCCGCATAAATATATCCTATGGGAGTCTTTCTCTCGCCATCAACTAATCTCAAAACCGGAATAAGAAGACCGGAAACCTTAAGGCTAAAGACAATGTTGTTCCAAAAGGAAGGCATCAAAACATAAGAAGCAACTCTTTTACCGGCTTCCTCTTTCGCCCATTTACTACGATTCCATTCTTCTGAAGTAAACATCTTTCTCAAGTTATTCTTTTGCTTGTGAATACTTGATAATGTGATGAAACATGTAGCAAATCGAGTCTTAGCAGGCCTAAGCAACTCCTTTTTGTGAGTAAAGTTCCTCATAATGTTCAACAACTTTGGTCCTATATAAATATAACTATTCAACTCCACTGCCTTCTGCATTGTTCTAGAGATGGAAGGTATTTTCCCAATGTCTTCCAACATCAAGTCTAAGCAATGAGTAGCACATGGGGTCCAATACAAATGTGGGTGTTCTTTCTCAAACATCCTCCCTATTTGAAACCAAACGGAAAAAAGAAAAAATGATATAAAGAGAATGAGTAAATCAAAATTGATTTAAATTATATATTTGTAAAGAATGTAAACTCTAAAAGTTATAAACATTGAACATTCTTACCGGCATACTTATTGCTTGACTCACTATCTGTGACAACTTGGACGACATTTGCTACTCCAATGCGGTTCACAAATTTATTAAGTAAGTCAAACATCTTGTCACCATCCTTTGAAAAAGAAGAAGTATCTATCGACTCAATAAACATGGTTCCCCTTTGACTATTTACTAGGAAATTAAGCAATGTTCCCCTCTCTTGTCTGTCCACCCATCTGCCATTAATGAGTATCCAAATTTTGACCACTCCCCCCTATGGTCATTCATCAAAGCATTGGTATTATCCAATTCCTTCCTAAGCAAAGGAACTCTCACCTCATGATAACTAGGTGGTTTCATGCCAGGACCATATTGTCCAATTGCTTCAACAACCTCGGCAAAGCTATCATACTTAACAGCATTGAATGCAATTCCTGCATCATACATCCACCTTGCAAAAGCAGCACACGCTCTTCCTCTCAACTCTTTCTTGCATGCATCATTAATGGCTGTTTGTTTTCCCCCCTCCTTTCTTTTTTGTACCACAATTTTCGGTCTGGGAGTGAAATATAAATCAATCGGTCCCTTTTGCTTTTGCATCTTTGAGGAATTGACACTAGCACTGCCTGCACTGGCTACCCTTTTTCCTCGATTGTTAACTTCCATAATGTCATCCTCATCCTCTCCATCAATGAAATTAATTTCATCACTAGGTAACAAATTCATTTGATCTTTTTCTTCCTTTTTCTTACTCATGTACTCTTTGATTTCTTCTCTAACACTAGATGGGCATCTTGGGCATGCACTCACATTTCTATACCCTCCAGCTAAGTGTTGTTTAGCCCGATAAATACCTCCTTTTGTAACTTTTGCACAAAAATTACAAGTGACGGCATTTGTATCTTTCGGATTCTCCAAATGTGAGTAATTCCATGCCGGATCCTTTCTTGAACCATCACTAGGCATCTTTTAAAGTACAAACTACAATCAAATTCAAGATAACAAAATAATAGTATCATGTAATCAGTGTCTGCAACAACTCTGGCAAATAAATAAATAAATACAGAGCTTCAAAGCAATTTGCAATATTAACATTTCAATTTAAAAAAATAAATACAAAGCTTTGGCAGAATGCAAAAAACAAAATATTATTCTTTAAGGTCTCAAACTCTCATTAGAATTTGGTCACTATCTCAAATTGGATGCATGCTATGATTTTATTATTAGAAGTGGATGGGCAGGAAGCTAATTTTTAATTTGTTTTTACTAGAAAGGATCAATTTCGTATAATGTTCAAGTTCACCAGTGCAGGTGAACGTCTAACACTTCTGGAATATATTGGATAGCATGAGAGATAAGAAAATTCAAATCATTCATTGTACTGTTGTTCAATTGTATTGTTAGTCAACTTACTTAACAGTTTGCTAGATGCAAAAATAAGGTTTCATTGATAATTTACTTAAAACTTTTATCATCTACAAATTCTGCACATATCACGACAAGGACTTTGGTAAATCAGGTGTTCAAGTGTGTGCGCTTGTGTGTTTCTCTTTGAATCCAAATGCTTGACATTTTTTTTTTTTTGCACATTGTAGAGTAGTATGCAAAACAAACATTGTTTCTAACTATTTACTCAATGGGCTCGGTAAATAGGTTAATGAGTAAGGATGATTAGTTCAGATGCAAAATAATAACAAACATTGTTACTAACTATTTATTTCATTTTAACAAAATTAGATAAAAATGCATTTCCTCAAACCAACATGTTAGAATGGAACAAATACAACTGTTCACACAAATAAATCAAGTTAATATAAAGTACCTCACACAAATAAATAAATAAAAAATAAAAAAATGAAAAAAAAATAAAAAAACTGGAGTAAGAAAAAAATAATAATAATAATAAAAAGAAAAAAAAAAAAAATCTGCCAGGAGAAAGCCGAGACTGAAGAGAAGAGAAAAAAAAAAAAAAAAAAATCTGCCAGGACTCAGGACTCAGGAGAGAGCCGAAATTGAAAAAATAAATAAATAAAATACTGGAGAAACAAAAAATAAATAAAAAGAAGAAAAAAAAAAACAAACAAACAAATCTGCTAGGAGAGTGCCGAGACTCAAGAAAAGAAGAAGAAAAAAAGAAAAAAGAAAAAGAACAATAAAACTGGAGGCAAAAAAATAAATAAAAAAAAATAAAAAGAAGAAGAAAAATAGAAATAAATGAAAAATAGAAATAAATCTGCAAGAAAGAGCCGAGAGGCCCCAGGGCCCAGACTCGAGAGAAGAAAAGAAGAAGAAAAAAAAAAAAAAAAACTGACCGAATCACCGATCCGGCAGATCTGAGAAAAGAATGAGGAGAGAAGAAGAAGAGAAGGAGAGAAGAAGAAGAACTAACCTGGAGAGAGCCGACGCAGATCCGAGAGTCCCGAGTGAGTACTTCGCTGCCTCTGTCAATCTGTGACTCTGTGTTCTTCTTTCCTTTGCTTCTCTTTTTTTTTTTTTTTCGTTTTTTATGTTGCAAACTTGCAATAGGCTTTGGCTTTGAGCTTTCAAGTTTAAAATAATACAATACAAAATACAAATAATATAACAATACAGAGTTATAGACTACAGAGTCACAAACAAAACAAAAAAAAATAAGGAAAAGAAGTTAAAAATAAAAGTTTCATGCGAGCGCGCCTTTCTAGCGCCTGTAGCCTGGCGCCTTGATCGTAAAGGCGCACGCCTTATATAACCCAACCGCCTTGAGTACACTCAAGGCGCTAACCTGGTGCCTGGAGGTGCCTTGCACCTCAGGCGCGCGCCTCCGGCGCCTTTGACAACTATGTGTGCTGTAACTCCTATCCATTTGACTGCACCGTAAAATTTATGAATTTTACATCTCAGTCACTCCGACCATCCGGGAATCAGTAAGACATCTACCAAGCCTCCTTCAGTACCTTAAACTCCTCTGAGTAAAGTACGACTTCCTGTGGGGTCAGTTCAAATATTCTAAGTTGACCGCCTCCCTTTCCCTGGTAATAACAAGCGTTAATATTTCCATATGCTAAAACTCAATTACCTTCTCGGCTGATAAGATCATCCTCCTCCCTATTACTTTCACCCGATGAAGCTTAATGCAAAGTGTGAATCACCACATCTATCCATCCAAGCCATTTCGTAATTCGTGCCATTCGTAGGAACTGATATCTTACTAGTTCCCAAAATAGACAAAGTGAAGCTGATTTAGTTTTATCAGTCAACCGATATCCCAACCAGAATCCTGACCCTTGTGTAGAATCAGAAATCTCCCACCCAGATCCGTGGAAACTACTCTATCAGTCCCGCTCTAGCATGAGAAGTGGCCGTAAGGATATAATGATCTCTGACGGTCCATCTAGATTATTTACCAGACATCAGACTTTGAAACATATATTAGTTGTTCGGTCTCATCTTCAAGTCTTTAACATCTTACTTTTCTAACACAAGTAAGAGTCTATTAGACATCCCGTCTAACTGCAACCGCATATGGAAATCTTTTCATCCTCTAAATAGTTAACAATTTTCAAGCAACAACTACTTGTTGCGAACGGTAACCTAAAAAAATTTCCATATTATTTGTGCAAATGAGTGACTCTGCCTCCTCCTTGATATGCATCGCCAGCACTTCCTCCTAATGACACCCCCTAATGAGAATAAAATTCTTGATTAAGAATTGACTGATGACTAGTAAATTCGTTTACTATCCTCAGTCGGTGTCATTCCAACAAGTACTTAAACCAGTACCAAAATCCTCTTACTGACTTAGGAACACCTGTTTAAAATTTTCCTAGAAGATATTCAGCCAAGCCAGTTCCTTCGATAAACCAGCATGACGTTACAGCTTATCCAATGAATTTATATCATTTGACTCAAAACTGCTGGTTTTTCTTATCCCATCCTGAACACATACTACAACCACGCATGTCTAGGTTCATTTGATTGACTAAAATTAGATATACTAACCAAATCTTATGATCACATGCCTACAATCCTAGCATAATTAACGTTATTCCTCCAAAACGGTAATTAACTGATACTTGACGAAAAAGAAACACATAAAGCACACACAATAGAACACAATAAACCCCTACGTAAAACATCGTTCCTCCTAGCAAAGAAAATCTCTTTTAAAAATCAACTTTACCCGATTGGTTCACAATCTCCTTTCTACAGTTTCGGAGGTAATCATCCAACCTCGAAACATAGCTCAAAACAAACTCCATTTGCCTCAGCAAATGCCAAAGGCTTAACCTTCATCCTCCTTATACACAGAATACAAACCGTCTAATGTAGCTGTATAAAGCAACTTAGATCATCAAAACCTAATCCCCCTACTTCCCGGAACGTGCTATATAATCTTTGCTTCGTTCTGAGAAGAACTCCATCTGATTCCTAAACCCCTAAAGAGTTCCCTTTATCTACCTCGTTTAAAGGTAATACACAAGGTTAGCTATCCACCTCAACTTTATGAGTATTATTCACTATACTATTAGCGAACAAGATCACTTTCACGTGATCCTTGATTTTCAACATTTAATACCCTCTTTCTTGGGTTTGTTGAAATCTCTTCCACTAGAATCCTCTTTGGACTCCTATTCCTCGGTTGTCTCCTTTATGAGAATAACTAAAAAAGTGTTAGTCCCTTTATACGGGGACCTAAAACACACTCCTATATCCCTCATTGGCTTATACTTCTAAAAGTAGTGCCAACCGGAACTAAACCTTAAATCCCAAGTTTTGCTTCTGATAGAGAACTCGATAACGTACTCCTCTACTCCTTCGGTCTGATTTGCTGTCGCCACAGACCCCATCCTCCTTCTAGTGTCAACCATTCCATAATTATGGAATATAATTGACATCAGGAGCTCCTCCTAATAAACCGTAAAAGAGTACAACGAATCCTAATATGGCTCTAAGTTTTTAAGAGACGTAACGCGGAAGACTTCTAACAAAAGACACTCATAAGGACACTAGAACCTGGAGTGCTCTGATACCAACTGTGATACCCCTCGTTTCTAGAGTCACGAGTGATCAAGTCCGAGCACACATCCGAGGGATACCAAACAATCAATATGTAAACAAGCAGGAATAAAACTGAAGTAAGATTTAAATAATAATAAACAGAAGAATACTAATATGAAAATCCTCAAACCTTAA